CCTCCCTAGCAATGAAAATAGGGTCCCTACCAAAAATGGACCAAGACGGATGCAAAACGAAGGATCGGGGGCCAAAACGCGCAGTCCGGGGCCCCGAAGACAGGCTGTTAGGCATCGGAAGTGGCGTATGACCACGAAGGTGGTCTCTCGGGCCACAGTGTCCCTCTAAAGGGAGGAAATAAGATGTGTGCCAAAAACCGGAGTAAACGGAGGTAATTAAGCGGTCCCGAACCGAGGCACACGGCCGACGGCTCCGAAAACCGAAAACCTGGCTCCAGAAGGGGAAAAAAAAAGCCTACGACCACGAAACGTAACCTACGGCCACTGAGAGATGGTCTACGAGACCTCTCCCTCCCTTCGGGAAGAGAAAACGGAGAAAACAGGACCCGGTTCGCAAATCGAGACAAGGCACAAAAGAGCTCCGAAGTCTGGAGGCAAGGCTCGCAGCCGAGACTCTGAAACCTCAGAACGAGCACAACATGCAACATCATTGAGCGCTTAGCTGATGACGTCTAAGTCTTAAGGTCAGTCAAAAATAGGGTGTCTATAGGTGGATTGAGAGAAAGGAAATGGGGCAAATGGGTTAGCGAAGTGGTGATTAGAATTAGAATTGGAATTGGGATTAAAGTTTCAATTTGAATGCTTTTTCAAAAAAAAAAAAAAAGGGGGGGATAAATCACACTTTAACTTCCTGTGGTTTATTTGAAAAATCCAAAACCCCCCTATGATTTCATTTGTAACACTTAAACTTGCTAGAGTTCTTATCAAAGTGCAATTTCAGACAAAGTAATAGAAATTGTAAAAAGTCTAAATTACCCTTATTTATTTCTCTAATTTTCTTCTTAATATCATCACAAACCAAAAATTCTCTCACATTTTTCTTTAATATTTATGTATTCTTTTTCTCTTCTTCTCTCATTTCTTTCTCATCCCATGGCAAACCACATACCACTCATACCACCATCAAATACATATCTCTCTTTCTATGTAGAATTTAGACCTATCTCTCTCTCTTTCTCTCTAGAATCTAGAATTTAGACCTAAACAAATACTCATATCTCTCTCTAGAATTTAGACCCAAACAAATAGTCCATAGTTGCAAACACCTACCAAGCTTATCCCATCTCCTCCACTCAACCAACACCCATTACCTTTCTCTTTCACGGCATCCATGGTGGTAGCCACCACTACAATTTGGGTCTTGACTTAGTTAATTGGGTATGCCTATATATATAATCTATACATGTCTATAGTGATAAAGAGAAGATGAAGGATGATAGTGGTTGTCATGGTAGAGAATGATAGACATATATTTTAATTTTTGGATTAACTTTATTTGAGTTAAGAGGATGATACACATAGATTTTAGAAGAATAATAAAACAAAAATGAAAGGGAAAGATGAAGAAATGAGGGATATAAACTAGAGAAAGAGAGAAACATTTTAAAGAGAGAACCAACGTTTCTAGCTTTCAAACAACTTGGGAAGAATAAGAAGAATGTAAGGAATTATTTAGTCTGGTTGAGAGGGGATGCTAAGGCGGATGTGTGGCAACCAAGAAAAAACATGTAGATAAAATGAGTGTAGCTAAAATGAGAATACTAAGGTGGATGTGTGGCAAGACTAGACAAAACAAAATTAAGAATGAGTGTATTCAAGAATGGGTAAAAGTAGCATCGATAGAAGATAAGTTGAGAGAGAATCGATTTGGATGGTTTGATCTTATTCAACGGAGACCAACAGATGCAGTAGTGAAGAGATGCGATGTTGTAACAATAGATGGAAGTGTTAGGGGACGGGGTAGATCTAAATTAACGTTGGCTAACGTTGTAAATAGAGATATGAATCTACTTAATTTGTCTAACGAAATGACATTTGATAGGACCGCGTGAAGAAGAAGGATTTATGTAGCCTATCCCATTTGATAGGACTTAAGATTTGGTTTGATTTGGTTTGGTTTGGTTTTGGTTGAGGGGAGAAAATTTTGATTTTATGGTCGTGTGCAATTTACACTCTATTGAAATAAATGATTCGGTCCGAAATTGCACTTTGGTATGAAATTTAATGAGTTTTAGTATTACAAATGAAATTATAGGGGGATTCCGTATTTTTTTGGGTAAACCTCAAAGGATTAAAATGTAATTTACCCAAAAAATAAAATAAAATAATTGTCCCTTAACGGTTGTTGGCATTTGGACAGAAGTGAAAAATGATGAATAGTTTTTGGATCAAAATGAAGAACGATTTTTGAGAACCGAAGTGAGCAAAATGATCATATTTTAGAGGATAAAAGTGCTATTGATCCGATCACTTGTGTTGCACATAAAAAGGGGTGAGACACAACATCTTAGGTGCTTCTATTTACACCATAGAAACATCTACTTACACTTTTATTTTTCATTTTTTATTACAATTATATTCATATTTGAAATTATCAAAAAGTACTTAAATTTTAAAAAATTAAAAACTCTAATTTATCATTCTACCCACTGCTTTTTAATCATTTTCACTGATCCACCACCACTATTGTCGCTCATCACCGCCCCTTGCCCTCCACAGCCACTCATTTCACCTCCTCATCGCATACCCGATTAACTAGATTCTGAACTGATTTTCTCACAAATTGCTTGGGCCTTGGCTTCCTCTTGTGCATGCGAGAGCTTCCTTGGGTCTTGCTACTAGTTCAATGGAGTTCTTCCATATAAAAGGTGAAACACAAGTTGGTAGCAAATTGATGTGTAGGACAGACAAATAAAGAAACTTCTTGGTTTTAAAATTCCCATATACACCATAGACACATGCCTTTTCATTCATTTATTTATTTTTATTATTATTTGAATCAGATTAGATTAATCAACAAATAAAGATCCAATACCCAATCATGTTGAGTGTTATATAATATAAGTGCATCCAGGTGATAAGTCGATATCCTAATACCAGATACCGAATTATCACAAACAAAACAAAAAAAATACATCCGAGTTTTACAATCCCACAAAAGGGGGCAAAAAAGCCCCACACATCAAAGTAAAATTACAAACAAATATTATATATAAAAAAAAAAAGAACAAATATTTTATATATATATCAAACTTGAACAAAAGGCAAATCTCTCTCTATTGCTCCTTATCATCTCTATATATGTCTAAAATCTCCTCAAAAGGGGAAAACAAAAACCTCTATGTACAATGCAATTTATTATTAATAATCCAAATATGCCAAGTAATAAAGGTTTCTTCAACAACTTGTGCTTGAGCATTTTGTAGGTGTCCTTGGAGCTGCATAAAACAACACACAAGATAACAAAACAAATTAACATAATAATCATGAAATCTACCTAACATTTAACTAAGAGGATTTGATTTTGGACTCATACAAGTGTCAACATATATATATATATATGAGAGGGTAATTTTTAGAAAAAATTGGGCCGAGCTGCGAGTTGGGCTTTGAGGCCCAAAACGCGAAAGACTAAGTAAAAAGGCCGTAAATGATACTCCGGCCCAGAAGAGCAAGGTTACTCCGGCCTTGGGGAGACAAAGTTACTCCGGCCCAAGGAGGTGAAATTACTTCGGCTCACAAATGACAAAGTTACTTCGGTTAGAGGATTGTAAATGTACTTCGGTCTGGGAGCAACTTGAAGTTAGACCGGCCTTGAAGTTATATCGACCTTAGAGGTATACCGGTTTGGGAGTTATACCGGTCGAGAGTCGTTGGTTCGGTCCAAACACACCATAGGTTAAACAAATGAGAAACCGATATAAGGGAGAGTAAAGAGAAGGGCTGAACTAAGGATAGTTCGGCCTACTTTACTTCGGTCAAATGGTAGTTCGGCCATGGAGGAAACCATCCCACTTGGTTTAAGCAGTGGGGGAGGGTGTAAAATGATAAGCATTATCCTTAGGAGTATGAATCCTAGGAGGACTCTGCGTGGAGAAATACAAGTCCTACCAGGATTGTGCCGCGGGAAACTTATAAAAGCCCACAAACATCACCTTGGAGGAGGTAATTGAACATAATTCTTTTTGAGAGCATAAAACTTTGTCTATTTGTCAAGCTTACTGACTTAGGCATCGGAGAGGTTTCCGGCACACACCCGCCGGCTAGCTCACGTTTGTGTTTTCAGGTGATAAAACGACGTCGTACGGAGGAGCGTGGACTTGGTCAACAGGATTATACGAGGAGAATTATTTCCTCCCCGTACAATATATATACACACACTAGCCGTATGTGCTCATCTGATGAGTGTACTATTAAAGTTATAAGATACAAATTTTTATTTTAACTTGATCAATTATAAGAGGTAGATCAATTACAGGAGTTAGTCATATAAGGATATTTTGAGTAATTTAGAAATATAAAAATTAATTTGGCATCAAAAAGATAAAAGGTCTCAAGACACCAATTAAGGTGTCCCTTTATATATAGTTCAAATAATTAGGTAGATATAGAATATATAAGGTGATCTGTATATCAGATTCTCGTTAAAATAAAATCTAAAAAATACAAGATTTAAACAGTTTTACTCTTATTGTTGGAGAGGTCGTGTCAATGATTCGAATCCGCAACATGAGGAACACTAATGGCAAAATTTACCATTGAACCAAATAGTGCTTTTTAAAAATTACATATTTATATATTTATAAACACAAGTAATTAGGAAAAAGAGGGTATGGATTACCTAAGCCAATTGCCTCGGAGCTTTTCATCAACCTTAAACGCTTGCATGATTCAACAAACATTCTGCCAAAAACATAAACACAGGTTAGTTAAATCAAAATACCACGTTACTTATATAGGGTCAATAATCAAAATCAATTAGTCAAATTAGTTAGTTAATGACAAATTGATTAGTGATAACCACCTAAAAAGCTTAAGTCACCAGTTTGAATTTTACAAATCACTTAATCTCGAAATTCAAATGCTACCTTCTCTGTCCTTTTAATTTTATTGGTTTAAAAAAACACTTTTTACTGATGTGGATAGACGATTTAATCCCTTGCGATAACTCAAGAATACATGGGAAACTTGTTTTTGGAAACTTGTTTACCAAAAATTTATTTAAAAAACAAACCCCAATAATATATAAGGGGTAGATAAGGAAACTCACTTCCAGGGGACATCACCAACAAGCATCCAGTCACCATCTTTGTCTTCATAAGTTGGTACATATTCAGACCCATTTACAGTGTCCATAAGCTTCCTCTGATTCAGGTAATTACCTATACACATACAAAATGACAAAATTACCCCCACTGCAAAAAAAAAAAAATTGGGGAAAAAAAATACGAATTCATATTTATACATACGGATGGTGAAGCAGGTGAACATGTCCTCTAGGGCAGTCAAGAGCTGCTCATAGCTACTATGCATCTCCAAATCAACCTTTCTGAGATAAGGAGCTCCGTCCACCGCCACCTTCACGTACTTACTGGCTGTCTTGGTTGTGGTCGTAGCCATGGTGGTTGTTGTCATCATGTTCTTCCTAAATGATCTCACTGGTGGCCACCCTACTACTTGTGCCCTAATAAAATTGCAAGAATCCGTGTCATTTACTTCTATTTAGATATATATTCAAAAAAATTGAAACAATGTTTGGATTAATGATTTAAGAAGAGATTTGTAGAGAGAACAAAAATAAAAAGTGAATGAAATAAAAGTTTTTTTTTTCATAATTTTTTTTTATAAATACAACATTAAATTCAAGAGTTGATTGAAAGACATGAATGGTTGAAAGTAATACACATGTTTCACATTTTTGTCTGTTTGTTAGTACTGTAGAATTGTAAGATGAGATTATAAGTGGAATGTAAATTGAGATCAAATTTGAAATATTATTTTTGACCGCTTAATGACTAGAAAATATAATTTCAAAAAAAACGGCTTATCAAAAGTCGAATTCAATAATCCCTATATGAAAAATTAATAGTATCGTCTCAACTAGCAATTCGGCCAAATAAATGGCTAGATGGGATTAAAAGATAAAATCTAACAAAAATAAGCTTTACATATTTTCAATCTTTCCTAATCCCGTTAAACAAACACGTCCTAAATAATACCTAGATGGTGTGTTTGGTTAGAAGATTTGGAGAGGGATTTGGAAAGAGAAAGGGAAAAGGTGTGTGAAACTATGTGAAATTTAGACATGTTTTATTCATATTTCACCTACCTTTTCCATTGCCCTTTTCAAATCCCTCCTCAAATCCCTCAACCAAACACAACAAGAGTGGATTATTAAAAAAAATGAACTTACTTGGCTGTTGAAGGTTTAGTTGCCTGAGACACATCATTTTCCGATTGATCATCCTCACAATTTTTATCCGAACCCAACTCGACACCACCACCGGAGCTCCCAAGGTTCAAATACCGATCATCATCGACCCTCTTCGAAAACCCGCGTTTTGTACCGGATTTCTGATTCCGAGACTCGCCCGGTAATCCCAAAGTCAGCTCCGTCTCCTTCAAATTCAGCCCTGCCACGTCACTTTCCGGCGACTTTTTTTCCATCTCCGGCGACAGCTTTGTTTGTTTGCTTTTCTTCTTTCAATAACAAAAAATGAAAACTCTCAAATAAATGAGTCTAACAAAGACTCGTTTCGATGTTCTCTCTATATATAGATTAGGTGGGTAGATGAACAGACCATTCGTGTTTCGACACGTCGTGTAAAGTACGGCTGCGATTGTTCCATGTCATTGCGAGCGTGTGTCTGTGATTTTGGGTGGTTTTGATTTTTGGGCCCTCGGTTTGTTCGTCCCCTACTCACTATCATTGTTGTTTATTTTTGTTACTCCCTCCGGCCCAAAATAATGGTCCTTTTGGGGGAATTCAACTTTTTTTTGATAGTACAATTATTGTACTTTTAAAAAGTTGGTTTTCTAAAATTACCCTTTGATAATACATTTTTTTTGAGAATATCAATGTCATAATTGTACTTTTTATATTATTTATGAATTTAAAAGAAGGGCAAAATGGGAAATTTATATTATTTTTGTACTTGATTTTTGAAGAGGGACTAATATTTTGGGACAATAAAAAATGGAATAAGGGACTAATATTATAGGACGGAGGGAGTAATTTTATTTGGGATTTGGTTCTCTGTTTTTGTGTGCACCAATAACATACTTGTTGCCGAAATTACAAAATAAGTGAGACAATGAAAAAATAATGACATCAAGGCAGCGTTTAGTATAGTTTGAGAATTATGATTTGAGAATAGAGTTATATTTTGAGTTTGAATTTAGAAATTATGATTTGAGTGTGAAAAACATGTTTTGTTATGAGTTTTGAATTAAGTTTAAAATTTTTAATGTGACATATGATATTTGATTCAAAACTTACTACTCATAACCAAACACATAATTCAAAATTTTATTTAAAGCTCATAAAAAAATTTCAAAAATATTTTTTATTTAAAATATAAAAATAATAGGTGTAAAAAAAAAACGAACACTATTCCAGTCAACCGGCCGGGCGTTCGAGAGGATGACCGGGTAGACGTGCTTGTAAAAGTGAATATGGAATCAATTTTTAAAAATTGTAACCTAACACCATATTCAAACCAAGAGATGAAATTAAATTTAGAAACTGATTTTTCTTAGTACAATCGTGACACATAAGAAAGACTTACATCAAATACGAAGTGAACTTACACCATGTATGCAACAAAATTTGCAGAATCATAAAAATATATATAAAAAAAATAAAAAAATATTATATTACTGATTTGTAATTTTTTCATATTGGGCGAAGAAAAAACCTTGTTTCCGACCATCTGATGAACATCATCATATACTACCTTTTCATTTAATCTAAAAGAAATGTGAGTCACATGAATTATACTTAGAAGTTAAGAATTCTAAATCAATATATGATACTTTCAAATGAAACTTTTGCAATAGTAATGAAAACTTGTAAAGTACAAATTAGTTAGGTAAGACTTGAATTCTTTCTAATTTATCATGAATTCAGAGAAAAATGAGAAATAAAGTATGCTACCGATTTTTTTATTATTGTTGTGTATTATTGATTTTATAACTATTTATGATTTATTCTTTATTTAAAACTTTTTGGGTAAGTACTTTATTTTACTTAAAAACAAATAATATCTTATTAACGTATCTCCATAACAAAAAACTATAAAGTAGCTTTAAAAAAAACATTAAATTACACCGATCTTCATTAAAATTTAGAAAAAAAATACAAGAAAAATCATAATTTTCACACAATCTTAAGGTTTTAATTCATATTATGTCTTCACGATGCATGTGTTTTTCTTATTTATCTTTGGTTCCATTTGGTTTAATTTTTTAAATGAGTTTTGAGTTGTATTTTGACAGATAAGTTGTTGAAAAGAGTTTTGAAAATTAAAAATTTGTTCAATTATGAGTTTTGAAAATAGTTTTGGAATTATTTATAGTTTTTTTATTTTTTTATTTTAGTTGAATAGATAGGTGTGGAAGAAAATTTAGTTGATTCATGTATAAAATGTGAGAGGAGAGAAGAGAGAGAAAAAGTAATTGATTGATTTATTAATAATAAAATACAATAAAAAAGGAGGCGAAAGATAAAATTAAATTTTGAATTGTATTTTAAAAGTTCCCTAACCAAATAAGTTCTTTTATTTTTTGATCCAAATCATATTTAAAAAACTAAACCAAAAATAATCTTTGTTTCTTCACAATTTTTTTCATTAATTTTGATTATTTTAGTCTTACTAAAAGAAAAATTAATATAATTATTGTTTATAGTTTTTTTAAACCTCAAAGAAAGATAATTTATCCATGAAAATAATGATTGATGTAATTGACGCTATGAAGTCATTTGGAAAAGATTCAAGTAGCTTTGTGTCACTATTAAGGTTAGGTTTGGCAACCATTTTCAGTGATTTTTTTTTTTTTATAAAAAATATCACTTTTAAATTCTGCCACAGTCGAATACCTTAAAATTTAAAATTCCATTATATAAATAAATAAATAAATAATACATTATCTATTTTGCACTTTTTAAAATTCTTTAACTTTAAAAGTTTTAAAACAAATTCAGCAATGATAAACAAAAATAAAAGGAAAACATGTTTTTGGAGAAAAAAATTTCAAAAACATGTTTGGTTGAAAATTTTTAAAAAATAAATTCCAAAATTTCTTTTCCTCTTTATTACACATCAATTAATCACTACAAAAAATAAAGAAATAAATAAATCATTTCAAATTCTAAAACTCTAAAATTATTTTCAAAATATACAACCAAATAAAATTTTAAATTTTTTAAGACAAAGACTAAATCTGCTTGGTATTAAACTTTCAAAAATATTTTTAAAATTTTTAATCAGTATCATTTTATTTTTAGTGAACTTTATAAATATTATAGTCAATTTTTTCTTTTTCTAGATCTACTTGTTTAGATATACTAAAAAATACAAAAATTATGATTTTTTTAAAATTCACTAAATACTAAAAATATTTTTAAAATATATAAAAATTTAGTACATTTTCTTAATTTTTTTGTTTAAAGCACATAATTTAAAAAGTTTAATTAAAATATTTTAAAAAAATTATGAAAAATAAAAAAAACTTTAAAAATTATTTTTAAACACTCAAAACTAAACAATTTTAGTGCTCGTTTGGTTTTTTTTCTTGAGCTAAAAATTCACAAAAGAACAAAAATCACAAAAAGATTAAAAAAAAAAAATTATCATCCCAAAGTCAAAAAAATTAACCAAAAAAATCATTGCCAAAACGACATTATTGTTGAATAGGGTACAATTTCATAGGCAAAAAAAGCCAAGAGCATAATGATTATAGGTAGGTGATTGCGGGTGCAAACAATATTGCATGGGGCAGAGGCACAGAGGAGTGGAATCCCGTGGGGTAAAGTGTAAACGCCTGGAAGGTGATGAAAGAGAGACAGAGAGAGGAGAGAGAGTACGTGGGACCAACATGTCGGGGTTCTTGAGGTACAAGTCAACTTTTTCGTGAGTGCCTATTATCAAAACAAAACTACTTATTACGACGACGAGGATGGCTTTTGGGTCCCACCGACCACCATGTGATCGTGTTTCTTTGTCGCCTATTTTAGGATTCACCGCCACGTGGACTTCCCCACCCGGTCATCCGCCCGCGGCTTTGCAGCAGAACAACCCATAACCCGCTCTTTAATCATTACTACCCTTACCGGTATCTCCCGGTCACCTTATTCGTGTCCTTTAGTTTTTTTATAATAATTTATTATGAGACCGACTTCAAAAATGTTAGAGGTTGTTTGGCTGTGCTATTTCAGCACCTTTTCTTTTTTTCTTTTTTTTTTTTATATTTATTTTAAGTCACATTAATTTTTATTTGTATCATATTATTTTCTATTATATTGTGTATCTTTTTATAAAAAATTAAAAATATATTTATTTAGAGTATCTTTAATTATACATCAGATATTTTATCAAATTTAAATAAAAATTTGATCTAATAATCAAATATGGTTGGTCGTTGGAACGATCATCCGTCTAGAGTAAATTTTTATTAAATACATCTCAAAATTAATTGTCCGAGAGGATGTCCCGACAGACGTTCGGTCTAACAATTACATGCAAATTTGATGAAAAGATAAACGCACTATTCATTTGATAAAAAAAAGTAATGTGTCCTTCATTTGATACCAAACTGATGAAACAGTTGAAACACCGTTTTCATTAATTTTTCATTAAATTTAAATTTAATGATAGATCTGATAAATGATTGGAAATGGTCTTAAATGATCCCAAATAATCCCTTAGGCCATGTTTGTTTGACTCTTTGGGGAGAGAGATTGGACAAGTAGTTTGTGAGACCTACCTATAGAGAACGGTTGGGTCATGAGTGGGGGGATTAACTATCCCCTTGAATTAGTAATCCCCCTATTGGTAGGATTATCAATTCCATGATAGGGTTGGGATTAATAATTGAGTGAGGGAATCAATGAATTTTTAAATAATTTTTACGCAAAATTTATATTTTTTAGAACCAAAAAATAATAATTATAATATTAAAAAAATACTAAAAATTAAAATATATTAATTTTATATATTAATACTATCTATAGTATTACTAATCTGATGGTGTACAAATAAACACTCTTTATCTTACATTTCCAACCCAATATCACTACACTAATAATCTCCTCACTCAGGCCTAATTTGGGAACTTGGTTCTAACCTATTTTGGCTTTTTTAAAAAAATGTGTAAAAATGTAGAGAAGTGATGTGATTCAAAATAGATTAAAAATTAAAAATTGGCTTTTAATTTGGGAACTTGGTTAAAAGCCAAATATTTTGAGTTAAATCACCTCTCTACTTTTATACATGTTTTTTCAAAAAAAAAAAATTTAAAAAAGTCAAAAACTCAACTTTAACCAACTTCCCAAAATCACCTCTTCACTTTTTTGTACGTTTTTTCCAAAAACCAAAAAAAGCCAACTTTTTAACCAACTTCCTAAAATAAGTCTAATCTTACTATACTCTTAATCTTCTTTATCTTATGGAGTCAAACAAACATGACCTTAATGTTGATAATATCACTCTTTCTGTCTAAAAATTTCTCTTATTTTATTTTTCATTATCCCAA